CGTTCAGCAGGAGACAATTTCTTTAATAATTCCCAGACATGTAGTGGTTTGTCTGGAGATTCTCTTTGAAAAAGAACAGCCCAAAGTCCTGTTTCTGATGCATCTACCTCCAAAACAAATGGTTTGGAGGAGTCAGGATGATGAACTGGGGCAACAGTAAACAACAATTGTAATCTGTCAAATGCTGAAAAGGCATCGGGAGGCCAGTATTGTGTATTAGCACATTTCTTTGTTAGGTTCGTGATAGAAGCTATTACAGATGAAAACACTTGGATAAACCTACAGTGGTAATTGGGAAAAACCCTCAATTCGTTGAATGGCTTTTAGACCTTTGGGTAAGGGCCAGTTGAGTATGGCTTCTAATTTTTTGGGATCCATAGAAAAATTAGAAGGAAATTATGTACCCAAGAAATTAACCTTTTTCTTATTTGCAATATAAACCCTTCAACGTCTGTAGAACTGTCTTCACATGAATGTGATGTGTGTGTGGAGATCGGGAGAGAAGATGAGTATAATGTCAAGATATAACAAGACACATGAATGTAATCTCTTAAAACAAAATTGATCAGGTCTTGGAATACAGTGGGGGTGTTGCACAAGCCAAAAGGCATGACTAAATATTCATAGTGCCCATTCCTAGTGTTGAATGTTGTCTTCATTCATGTCCTTCCTTTATATTTATTAAATTATAAGCACTACAGAGATCCAGTTTAGTAAAAACAGTCTATTGAAAAGTTATGATATGAGGAATAGGATAGTCATTCGTTATGGTTATTTTATTTAGACCTCTGCAGTCAATACTCAGGTCTCAGGTCACCTTCCTTCCTTAGAAACAAGAAAAAAAAAAACACAAGCAGGAGAGGAGTGACGTATGAAACCCTTAGAGAGAGGGATTCCTACATGTATTCCTCCATTATAACACTTCCCTATGGGGATAGTGGATACACATGACCTCTAGTAGTACCAGGCAATGAATCAATGGTACAGTCGAAAGGTCTGTGTGGTGGCAGCGTTTCAGCATGAATCTTATTGAACACCTCTTTAACGGACATATATTGGGACGGTATTTCCATGGATAAAGGTGTGGCAGTAGATACATTAATAAGTTTTGGTTGTATGCTTCTTTCCGTGCATGAATCACCCCATGTTGATACTTCACACTGAATTCAATCAATATGAGGGTTGTGTAAAGAAAGCCAGGGGAAACCCAAGACAACCGGACAGGATGGAGAGGATATATCCTGAAAAATAATAGATTCCTTATGTAAAACACCTATTGATAGATTTATGGAACATGTCTCTTGGGTAATAAAAGGATTTCTTAGAGGTCAAATATCTATGGCTTCAATGGCCAAAGGTGTTGCTCTGCCTCTTAGTGGTACATGACGCAAGAGAGTATATTCAGTTTCTATGAAATCATCTGCTGCTCTAAAATCTAGAAAAGCTGTGTTAAAAATGGCATCTCCCTAAGATAGCGAAATAGGAAGCAGGAATCTATGGCTGGTCCCCTAATGGTCCTTAGGTGCGTTCATTTTCTGAACGGATAGGTCATGTTAACCATAGATGACCTCGTTTGCCACAAAGAACACAAACCCTCACCTCTCCTGTATTGCTTCTCAGCTCTGATAGCTCAGTTACATCTAACTGCATAGGTTCAGGATCATGTTGGGAAACTGCAGAAGAGAGAAAAATGAGGAGCCACAGAAATAGACAAATGATTAGGTTTGCTCTTCATCTTTTTCTCTGAGCCTTTTATCTATTTCCATCAAGTTATAAATTTGTTTAACCCCTGTGGTAAATCTTTAGCAGCGGTTTTGTCTAATATGGTGTCATACAATCCCTTTGTGAATGCTGCAACGAAACAACTATTAGTCCAGTTGACTTTGTGAGCTAAAAGTACGAAATTTGATGGCATAGTGTGATACTGTATGATTACCCTGCTTTATGCGCATCAAAGCCTTCGCAGCGGGTTTTTCTTTCCCTAAAGGTTTGAAAGACAGCTTAAACTGTGACAAATTCCTTGTGATTATAAGCTATGGATCTCTCACTTTGCCACAAAGGGTTAGCCCAAGCTAAAACCTTACCAGTCAATTGGTTCATGGGAAAAAAAACAATCTTTGTTCGGTCAGAAGGAAAGACCTAGGTGAAGTTTCAAAGTGATACTCAATCTGATTCAAGAATCCTTGAAATTTGAGGGGGTTCAGCACTAAACCTAGGAGGAGGTGTCCACTTAATAGAAGGGCTTTTATAGTAGGAGGCCTCAGACACTGCAGGCTAGAGAGTCATAACAGTCTGAAGTGCCTGAGCAAACTGATCCATCCTATGATCAGGTTCTTCTACTTTGATCTTGTGGGTAGTCATTTGCTGGCTTATAAATGCAGGATCCATAATGGTCCTGTCGTAATGTCAAGGACAGATTGGATCCAACAAGGACAGGAACTATGAAAAGACAGTAAGCCTATTACCAGACCTTAGAATGGCCGGATTAAACACCAATAGAGTAGTACAAGACAAGCCAAGATCAGATATACAGAAGTCAAAATAAACAACGAATAGCCAAAGGTCAGGGACAATAGAAAGCAGAAAAGTTGACAAGCCAAGGTCAAAATGCCAGAATTACCCTAACTATATAATGCGCTCTCAGATAAACCAAAGACATGGAAAACATGACAGGGCATCAAACAAATGGACCAGGGAGTTTAATTAGCCCAGGTAGGGCTCTAGCTGGCTACTGTGACCTGGAGACGTCTGCATCACTAGCGTAAAAAATGGAGGCTGTTCCTTTAAATTGGAAGCGGCCAGTGTTCTTGAGAATGCCAGCGTGATTCCCGGCTGTGTAGCATGGAGATCGGAGGAAGACCAGGCAAGAGGTTGATTTATAGCTTTAGTGTCCGTGCTGATCAAGTGGGGGCACGCTGTAATGCTGACCGGGCATGGAGTCTCCCCGGATTGCCAGCGTGACAGCAAGAAAAGTGAAGATCAGGACAGAAGGAGTTCAAGTACCAGAAATCTGAATAATAGATGTGGAGAATATCTACAAGTACCTGGGGGTACCACAAGCATATGGCAACCACGAGGAAAGGACAACATCCAAGTACCTCCAGAGAGTCAGATGGGGCCTGAAGTCCCAGCTGAATGGCAAGAACAAGATCCAAGCCAACAGTACATATGCCCTACCGGTCATAAGGTACCCAGCTAGAATAATCTGGCAAGAGAAGGATGTCAAGACCCTCAAGTCTCATATAAACCCCTCATAGGAGCCATAGAAAGCATTGATGGATCAAATATTTTTTTTTCCCAGCTCAGATATATTTACTCCTATTCAGTTCCGGGTTACATCCTTTTTGATGTGATCCCACTTTGTTCTGTGTGCCCAAGCCTGTGTGCTTGTAAGTCCACACCCATTCACATAAATATGTAATTGAAGCGATGATGTATGCGTTCCACGTCACTCACTGCCCGATCGGCTGTGAGTAGGCCTTTGTTCAAGTTATTCAGTGGGCATGTAGAAAAAAGGGAAAGAGAGGGTATGATTAAAGTGCTTGTAACTAATAAACTTTTTATCAAATCTAAATAAACTTTATTAATGGGAAAAAAAACATAAATATATGTATGAAAATTCTAGTATAAAGCATAATTCATAATACATGAACTCTATTCAAATTTATGCACAAGACACATGAATAAACTGGTTTATATATGGATGCATTCTTTCATATGGGGCTTAACTAAATCTTTCTTAATTGGTATATCCAATGATGTTCAATTTTATCCCGCCCACATCCTTACCCCAATAAAGATAAAAGGAGGGGTGGAAGGTATGTTAAATTATTGGACAGATTGTATAAAAAATGTGTATTTAAATATTTATGAAATGATGGGTAATGCGATTACTCCTATTTTTAAGCAGATTTTTAGAAGTATTTAAAAATGGATGAGAAAGGGGCTAAAGGATGGTTAAGACACACAGGTATATCCTATATAGGGATGTAGTGTATGCACCTGTATTACAAATCCACCTTCATAAACTTACTACATTGTATAACCCATCCTGCTGCTTTTTGCTACACTGTAATGACATGACCAACCATTGTGACATGATAAAAGCTAAACTGGCTATTGCTGGAATCAAGACAGGAACCTTAATCTTTCCAGCCTTGTATTTAAGAGCTTTTTTGGAAAGCTCACACCCTACCTGAGCAGAATGTACTCCACGGCTGTTCCCAACTCTTATAACCTCCGATCCAGTACCAGTACTTTATCTAGTCTACCTCAATACAAAATGAAAATGTTGCAATCCTCTTTTCCCTACAGAGCACTGCTATTATGGAATAACCTTCCGAACACTTTCAAATCTTCCAGCCTAAAATCCTTTAACAAATCCCTCTCTACATATCTCAACAGAATGCACCTATAATCATGGTTGATTAAATTTCTTGCGTATTCTGCATTACATTTATATATGTTGTGTATTAATTTGTATTTTGAATATTTTATTGTACCCTATTGTAAAAAAGTTTTAGTGGGCCCAGGACATGCAGAAAAATGCTAGAAATCTAAATGTATTTCTGGTAAATATTTATAAATAAACAATTTAATACAAACCTACCTTCATGTACACGGCATCCTCGAAGACCTGAGGTCCTTTTACTACATTTGATATCCATGTACAAGTGTCATGATATCTGTAAGCTCTGCCATTGCTATCGCTTCCTGTCCTTGTCTGACAAAGAGCTTAAACCTCTCACCTATTAATGTTCAGCTCTTTGTATCTCCATGGTATATGCAGGTAATTGTAAACAATGCCACCAGACATTCTAAAGGAAGGATTCAGTGAAAGCAAACTGGAAAACATAACCAATGCTTCCCTGGTGAAACTCTGCCAGGAAACAGGGGGAGAGTCTAACTCGCCGTATGTTTTCCAGCTTGCAAATATCTGGAATTGATGGTCTCTGTTTACAGCTTCCAGCCATGGAAAGCAGCCAGTGAGAGCTACATACAGGGTGACTCCAAATGCCCAGACATCAATACTTGGACCCAAGTGTAGATACTGGTTAGGTTCCAGAATAGAAAGCTCAGGTGCCATGTATGGTATTATATGAGACATCGATGGGATGAATCTACCAAAACGTTCTGTTAGACCAAAATCTCCGATCTTGATGTTGTGGCATTCTTTATCCATAAGCAAGATGTTGTCTGGTTTCAGGTCTCTGTGCACCAACCCTTGATTATGAATGAAAAATAATGCTTCGGAAATCTGAGCAGCACAACGCTTCACAATGTATTCTGGTAACCCAACCTAGAAGATTAGATAAAAACAAAATATTTCAGTAGAATATCCAGTAGAGAAAAATAAACACATTTACCAATATCACTTTCAAAAACATTTTAATAAATCGGCTGATAACTCTCCTCTAGCAAAAGTATTCCTCAAATATTGGTTATTGTGTTGTAAGCAATGATTTACATACTTTTTTAATTATCAATGTATGTCATACATCCAGTTCTCAAGGATTTCTCAATATTCAGCAAGAGTTGACAAAGTAATTAGCACTTTTTATGGAGATGGCTGTGTTATTAAAAAAAATTTAATGAAATCAACCTGAACATTGATAATTATTTAACCAAACTAAGATGCAGCTAGAACAGGTGTTGGTAACCAGTGGCCTTCCTGCTCTTGGTGATATAAAATTCCAGCAAATCTCCTCTGCCAGTTTGTTATAGTACATAGGGTATCAAGTTGCCCATGCCTAAATTAGCATAGAAACTCTAACAAGACTATGCGTTGTTACTAATCTGCTGAGAAATACCACTGAGACTATTCCAAAGCAATTGTTTAGCTTCTTTTTCTTACCTTCTCAACAATAATGGATTCAAGGGTCCCTGCTGTTGCCACCTCCTGGACATAGATGTAGTTGTGCAGGTTATCAAAGAAGTAGGGGTAGGTAGTAATGATACCCTTGTGATGAGAAAGATAGACCGCAACCTTGAATTCCTTGACAAAGGCATCTTGGTGGGTTTTCTCTTTCTTCATCAGTTTTAGCGCCACTGATCGACCTGGTAAAAATTATCAAGACGGTTGTTAAAACCATTTTCATGAATACAATCAACTATAGTAACATTAATGTGTCAGGAGTAGCATGAGGCTGTTTAATACTATTAAGACCGTTCTCTTTGTGCTCCAGTATTTATTTCCAGGTGCCTCATTCGTGCATGCAACATTTGGAAATTTAATTTGCCTATTTTAGCTGTGCCAGTGCAGCAGGATATACAATGTAAATAAAAAGACAAAGAAAATAACTAACTTTTTTTTGGCTACTAGGTTGTGCAAAAAGTGAAATTTCTGCTTGAATTACAGGTTGTTATAGCCATTAACTATTCTAGATACTGCGTTATTAGATACACACGTGTGCCAACAAAGTCTTCGGGGATATTCAAACTGTCTGTACCTGCTAGCTTGTCATGAGCCAGTAAAACTTGACCAAAGGTCCCTTCTCCAAGCTTTTCAAGAACCTGGTACTGCTCTGGAATCATCTGGATCTCTTGGTTTTTGGATGTATTTTCCATTGCAATGAGCTGGAAGGCAGGTTCTTTACTCAGATCTGAAGCGTAGACCTGAGGGTGCAAAACATTAGTTTTAAAATCTGCTTTTTTATAATCTATGTAAAGATAAATCTTCATTACGAATGATGCTAATATTTAACCAATGTTTTGCTATAACATGTTTAACAAACTGTCAGTGAATGCTAATATCCCATGTTTGTTAGCATCCTCTGTACATTTACCAAAATTATAGTTTTGCTGTTCTGAATAAGAATACAGATTTGTAATCTTTTTAAAACATTGCAATCTAAAACTATGAAGTGGGTAAACCTAAACTACAAGAAAAATCAGCCCATTCCATGTAGAACAATTCTCTCCCACTCCTTTTCTCCTGCCAAAGAGTAGTTGAACTTCGCAAACCCAAAATAAATAATGAAAGCATGGTACAGTGTATCTCTAGTAGTTTTTGGAAGAGGACAATACCAGTTCTTCAGAGTGGATCCAGGGAGAGATCTTCCTCCAGAAAGTGGTAAAAAGACAGCAAAATGCATTTATAGGGTGTGTTAATAGACCTGAGGAATATTTTAATACAATTGGAGAGACTGTATAACAGATGGACTGTGTATAATATAATCAAGACCTTAAATGTAAAAGTAGGTAGCACTTTATAGATTTTTTTTTTAATAATCCAAATTGTATATTTATAGTGTATAATTAATCAAACGGTATTTAATAGATTGATTTGTTTTAACCAAATCAGATTTTGAGCCAACGTACAGAAATCACCTTCATATTTCAGATCCAGAGTGTCCTGACGAACCCCAAATTAATTATATGCTATGAATTAAAGGACAGAACCAGTTTTACAAACCAAGCTACACATTAAAACATTTCTCTCCACCTACTGTGTAATACAACTCAGTCAACCTATAGCTTGATTGAGACTTGTGACATTCAGTCCAACATACACGGAGAACCAAATGTTATTCATCCAACAGGAATAATTATCATGTACATTTTATTTCCTGAACATCTAATTGTTTAACCGAATACTGAAATAGAGTTTTAGTTTCTTTAAACAAATTTTGTTGTATAGCAAAATAACCAAATTTCAAACTAGAGAAGCTGTAGACCGTTTCCATCTCTACTATTCTAACCTACTCTTTGCAACTTATCTATGTCACCATGATGTGTTAAAAAATAAAAATAAAATAATCACACTCCATTCAAACATACTGTATCAGGTTATAAGGAAGTGTAGATCTTACCTTTACAATATTACTATCAACTCTGGGTTGAGATATCACTTTGGAATATTGAAAAAGTGATCTTTCGAAAGTTCAACAGGTGGAAGTTGTCTCCTACAGTCCAATGTCTTCAAGAGGTTCCTGCTAAACAAACAAGAAGACAAATTCTGAAGGCTGTAAGCCTGCTAATGGTCTTTTATAGGAAAACTGCCCTGACTACACCATAAACCCCTCCCTTAATTAAATGCAAATTGAGTATCCCACCAATAGCCTTTGTCATGTTAATAGGTGTGAAGATTTCTATTGGTCAGTGTTCAAGCAGTGGGTGGAGAAAATATATTATAATTAATATGTTAATTAGAAACAGACACTGCAGTATCTGTTCTATTAGCATTATTAGCATTATAATTACCTTTTTAAGCAAAAATCTTAAAGAAATGTGTAATGTAAACATAGCATAAACCTTGTGGAGGGAAACTTAAATGAAAGTCTAAGAGCGGGGAAAATCATAATATTCAATGGAAATTTTTTTTATTTATCGTGTGTGTGTAGGAAGCTTAAAAGTTAGGTTTTAATTTAAAATCCAGCATCTCTATCTTTCTGAGACCTCATTCATCAATAGTTTTTTATGGGCAAAGTTGCACATGATCACTGTGGAGTTTGAAAGATGCATTATTTATTAAACTGGAGTACTGCAATATTATTGTTTTACTGCTATTAGATTTTATGATTAGAAATTGGTTTATAGTTTCTCAATAAATACATTTGACGTCAAATTGATTGTCCTTAACAATGCAATATATTGTGTAAATCTCACTAAACAAACCTTACCTTATTAACCAAAAGTCACCAAGTCTGCATCAAAAAATGCTATTTTTTTGTTATCCCACCAAACTTATTTTTCTGTTTAGGTTAAAGATAGTTAAATATATATTTAAAAATATAACCCCAATAAGTAACTATGTGGTAAAGACAACCAACTGGCTTTAAAATAACCTTTTATTCTATAACCTGCCTAAATATTAAACCCTACTATTCTACCAGCTGTAACCTGCTATAAATCTCATATATTGTGTTGTTGACTTAAAACTATCCAATACTTCTTCACATATTGGTATTTCTTTTTACCCCAAATTATTCATTTTTGAAGCTCCTAATCTATCTTGCATAAACCCTATAGTGTGTATATTCCAGAGATTATCAGGATGGGGGTGTTGGGTGGGATGGGCGAGTATGATTTCTCCAAATAACTCACAAAATTAATATGGAGGGTGTGCATTCATGCTGCATAACCTTCAATTAGTTGAACTCCTTGTTTTTCCATTTTTGTTTCCTTTTGAGCAAATATTCACATCAAACATAATTTGGAAATAATACTTTAGGAAGTGATTAAAGATACATTTTATGAAGATTCTGTTTGATTCCCCCTGTTTTTATCTATATACAGAGTTAACCAAAGTCTATTCCTGTCTTATAGTACTATTACACTAAGAATGATGGTTATCATGCACCCAGCTACACTAACATTTGTCCCATTAATGGCAATTTTTCCTTTTTAAAATTGAGTGGATCTTGTGTAAATGGAAAGGAAATCCAAAATTGGAGATTGGGCATGATGACTTCTAGAATTCTTCCTATGGAAATTTCTTAAATCTTCTCCCCAGCTTATCTGCAATCCACGCTCTTTCAATCTGGCAATTTATCCTGGTCCCACTGGTAACATTGCTATTTAAACCCTCTTTCACTGTGCCCAGCATTCCTATAATGCATGGTATTAAATCAGGCCTAGTATTGCACCCAGTCAGTGAAACTTAAAAAGGCATGGATGGATACACTATATCTGACGTATGGAGACTGGGTAACAGAAGAACATAGATTATATATCATAAAAGACAGGGGTCAAGTCCTGGGGAAAAAGTGTGGGAACTCACCCAAGGTCCACCCCACCCCACCCCCACCCCCCCAAAAAAAAAAATATATACTTGTATTCGCAGAGCAGGGAATAACACATTTTAAATTAAACAGACTATTCTATAAAGGAAGTTTAAACATTAGATCTCACTTCACAGGAAATAGAGAGACTGTGTAGGTCACATACATGGGAGGTGTGACTAAGGCTGCATAAACAAAGTGATTTAACTCATCTGAAGTAGAAAATTGAGCAGTTAGACTGCAGGGGCATGATCTATATACCTAAACTACTCCATGAAGCTAAAGTTGTTTTGGCACTTGTAGTGTCTTTCAGTATATTGCATATGCATATTATTTATTTATAAAATATTTTACCAGGAAAGATACATTGAGATTTCTCTCGTTTTCAAGTCCTGGGTCCACAAATCATTGCATTGTTACATTAGGTACAACAAAATACAAAAACAATATTAATACACAATATATACAAAATTTAACATAGAACAGGAAGGAAATATATAATCAACCATGACCTGTGCATTCTGTTTTGAGGTATGTAGAGAGGGATCTCTTAAATGACTTTAGGCTTAGGGAAGATTTTAAATTGTGCGGGAGGTCGTTCCACAATTGTGGTGCTCTATAGGAGGAGAATCGGGCCGCTTTCTTTTTGTATTGATGTAGACTAAAGTGCTTGTACTGGATCGGAGCTTATAGAAAGTGGGAACAGCTGGGAAAAGCATTTTGTAAAGGTAGGGTGGGAGTTTCCCAGAAAAGCTCTTAAAAACAAGGCTGGAAAGATGAAGGGTGCGTCTGGATTCCAGCGATAGCCAGTTTAGTTCTTTTAGCATGTCACAATGGTGGGTCCTGTAATTACATTGTAGCACAAATCGGCAGGACAAGTTATACAATGTGTTGTGTTGAGTTTATTAATGTGGGGTTGCGATGCAGATGCATATACTAGATCCCCATAATCAATGATTGGCATCAGCATTTGCTGTACAATCTTTTCCTTTACTGTAGGGCTTAGGCAGGATTTGTTTCTGTACAGGGCAGCTAATTTTGGATAAAGTTTAGATGCAAGCTTTTCTATGTGGAGGCCAAAAGATAGATTGGGGCCTAACATCATACCCAAGTATTTGAAAGAGAGGACTTCAGTCAGTGTGCTATTTGAATTTGTTTTGATGGATAGGTGGGAATTGTGTAATTTGTGTAATTTAGGTACTGTTCCAAAGATCATTGTGACTTTTTTGTGATCCACTTTTCTACCTCTGTAAACTGGTCTTGGCGCACAGCCTCAAGTTGGGGTAGATTGGATTTGCTTGCATAGATTACCGTGTCATCTGCGTACATGTGTACATTTGAGGATTGGCAGACATTAGGCAGATCATTTATAAATAATGTAAATAGTAGGGGGCCGAGAATGGAACCCTGGGGAGCACAACACGTGACTGGGAGAGGGAGGGAGTCACTGTCAGAAATGGACACATATTGCGAGCGATCCGATAGATACGATCGAAACCAGTTTAGAGAATGATCACCAATACCTGAGTTTTTGAGTTTGTGCAGTAGAATGTCGTGGTCTGTGTCAAAGGCCTTAGCAAAATCAAAGAAAATAGCTCCAGTTAGGGCTCCTTGTTCCATGAAAGTTTGGATGTCATTGCAACCTTCTAGGAGAGCAGTTGTAGTGGAGTGATTCTGTTGAAAGCCAGATTGATCAGGGGTCAGATAGTTTAATTGTTGGTAGTACTAACAAAGTTGCATATGGACACATTTTTCTAAGATTTTTGACAATACCGGGAGCAATGATATTGGGCGATAGTTAGAAACCAAAGTAGTGTCACCACTTTTATGAATAGGCACAACTCTCGCAGTCTTCCAACGTTTGGGTATGTATCCAGACACCAAGGATTCGTT